GGCGGGGGCTGTTGGCTGAGCTGAGCTCCAGCTACCCGGCGGCTCTCCTGCTGGCGGCGGGTAAAGGTGAGGAGAGACCGTTGGTAAAGGACGGTTTCACATACCATCCGCAGTCCTCAGCCCCGGGTCAGTTTCAGTCCACGTTTTAATGTGAATCCCTCAGACAACGTGCGAGGCTCCCGGAGGAGTGGAAAAGTCGAACAGTAAGCTTGGGCCGGAGCGGAGCCCGGCTGGGAGACCCGAGGAGCTGGGGAGGACGCGGACACGCCTGAACAGATGACAGGAAGTCCAGGATCAGGAGCCAAAAACGAATGCAGGAAGATGGAGTTGAGAAGGAAAACGTTATGGCGGTCGAAGAGAGCAGAAAGTGGAGGAACGTTCTTTAAAGAGGTTAACTAAGGGCCAGCAGGTGGCGAGGTGGCTAAGGGCGCAGGACTCCCACGTGGTTGACAGAGGTTCGAGTCCTGAACGTGTCAGCTTGCTTTCTTGCCTTCTCTGTCTCGCTCTGCCCCTCTGGCCAAATCTAAATAAAGTTAAATAAAATATATTTTTTTGAAAAAGGTTAACGGTTTAGGGGATTTTGTTAATCAGAGAAAAGGATTCCTGTGTAGTGGTGAAGAAGCAGGATGAGAAACGGGAAGATTGAGTTAGAGGACTGAAATACAGGGGGAGAAAATATATGAATAAGCTAGTAGGAGGGGCTTATACTTTGCAGTTTAGCCAGGCATTACAAGAACGTGAGAGACAGCAGACTACAAAATTTTTTAAATGATTCAGCTGTGCCCTAATGGATTGCACAGAAACCTGCAAAGACAGGTAGGGAAATGATCTAGCTTCTCTGGAATTTTCTTGACTAGCCTTTTTGTTTCAAACTAAAAATAAGATTTTATTGCTACTTGAGGCAGACCACAAGTCTGAGAATTGCATATCTGATAACTAATGCCAGCTCTAATTTGAAGGTCAAAGATACTCATTTACTAAGAAAGTACTCTCTATAAAAGTCCATTTTTTTATAAAAATACCAAAAGCTTTTTATATATATATATAT